AAAAGTATTTTCACCCAATAGTTACTAAACCAGATAATTTTCAGTGGAGGGATCCATGGAGAACATCCAGAAGAAAAGAAACGTTCACAAGTCATGGGACTGTGTAGGTTACAAAGAAGGCTTTTAGAATGGTAGACAGAACTCAGTATTGGGACTGTGGCTATGTGGGAGTTGGACCTCATCTTTACTCTCCACTGTTTGTGAAACCTGGAAAAAGTTCCTTAGCCTTTAGAAGTCATGTTTGCTCCATCGTTTAGCAATACCTTTGTCTCACTCGACTTCCCCTTCTAAGGTAGGCTTGCGGCAAGCTCACTCTCAGGATAACGACTCTCATGCCTGTTCTGTTCTGAGCACAAGATATATCAAATGGAGAGGACCATGTTCTTCCTGGTTAGGAGAAAGCATGGATCTAACACATTGTTCAAATCTGCAAATCCAAGGCGGAAAATTATTTCTAAGTAGCTCCAAACTTGGCTAACCAGAGTGCTGACTGTACAGACAGCCAGGCCAATATATATGTTCATCACATTAATAGTTAGATACATGAGAGCTGTGTGAATAAGGTAAATTATAGGACTAATAATTCATATTGGGTAGCAAGTAGGTCCTCATGTCATGGCCGTTATTATTGTTTCTATACATCCAAACACTAAAGTACAGACATGCAAAAGCATGCACTTCCATGTATGCTAGAACTATCCTGAAACTGAAAATACATGTTTCTCAGATGAATCCTGGAGCTTTCACGAATCAATATCTGAAGGACTCCTAACTGAAGAATGGATGCCAAGAAAAGAGTTGGGAAAATAGCATGCTGTCCAAGTGAAATGAAATGCTAAGCATTTTTGCCTTAGTTACTCTTAATCCTGAATGGGGCTGGGTAATATTTATAAAGTTTGGTTTTAAGGAGGAGAAGTGGCAAGGAGTTGAGGCCAGTGAAGTTCCTATTGCAAGAGGAGAGATAAGTAAAGCCAGGCATCTGTCCTCTGAGACAGGCTGCTAATGATCCAACAAAGAGTTCAACTCTTACCACATCCTAAGAGAAAAAGGGTTCCACTAGTCCCTGAATTGCTGTAGATGGCTTACATATCAGTGAGGGAAAGAGGGGAAGGAATAGAACTCTCCAGTACTCCCATAACTTGTGCCACAACTGCGCCAGTGGGCCTATCCTTGCCGATGGCCTGGTATTAGTAGCTTGCAGGGTTTGTAGCTTCACTCCAGGGCAGGCCCCACACTCAGGAGTAGTTGGTCAACACAAACCACATTTCATGTTTTCTTTTTCTTTCTGCTTTTTTGTTGCTGTTTTTTATTTTTATTTTTAGAGAGAGAAAATAAAGTTGGACGGCTAGGGAAGCAGGGGAGAATCTAGGAAGAGTTGGGGGAAAAGAAAGAATATGATGAAAACATACTGCATGAAATTCTCAAAAAATAAATTAAAAAATTAAAAAAAGAAAAAAGAGTAATTCTCTTAGAAGGTATGGATGAAATATTCCCCAATAGGTAACCCTCACATTGTTCATGTCTACACTGTCAACCAGCATGTCTTTGTATTCCCATTTAAAGAATTACATTTCATCTTGTAACTTGGCTTTCATATTTGTTTTTCTCAATCAAATTATTCTCAATTTTTATAATATTTTAAAAGCAAAATATAATATAAATGTATCATTTCCTTTCCCCTACCCTTCTCCTATTTATCCCTGGCTCCAAATGACATTTAGAATCTTTTCTGAGGGACAGAGCTTTTGACTATATGTTTGATGACAGCAGTGAAGAGAAAGGACAGCTTAGAGGACGTCACAGTGAAGTGCTCTGTTGCCTCAGGGCAGATGAGTGCATGGACAAGAACCTTTCTCACTCTTGGCATAGTTGGGCCTAAAACCAGGCATCGTCGCCTCTGTCATTGAGGCTAAGCTATCTTCCCTTTTAGGATTTCAGTATTTCTGATGAACAAATCTTAAATCTACTGCCCCCTGCTGTTCACAGCTTGAGATTGAATGGGAAATGATAAAGTCATGGTCACCAAGAGCAGACCAAGGCCAACACCCAGGATGGGGCAAGGGGTTAGACGCCGACCTTACAGCCACCTGCATCACATGATTCGGGGGAATTTATTTCATTATTCCTATGACAAAACAAACAAACAAACAAACCCCCCAAAAAAACCCAAAACTAATTTCAGCAAGGTCAAGTGATTTTTTCCGAAGATCACATATGCTTTCAGAGGGCAGTGAAGGCAGATTATCATTAAAGCATTATGCTAATATTATGTTCCATGAAAAGTATGCTTATACTAAAGACCATATCAACCAGTAGGTACTGACTCTCAATTCTGAGTTTCTGAAAGAAAGATTTTACACCAGACATCTCTGGCCCTATTAATTCCTACCTTATCCCACCACTATGTTTTGTGTGAGAGACCAACCAAACACCTGCTGGCCAAGTGCTTGTCTGTACTGACTATGTTCCTACCAATAATTTAATTTTAATTTGTTTCACAAAAGCTGACATTGGAGCTATGTTTCTGGAAGGAAGAAAGGAAGGAAGACAGATAGATGCTGGGAGGACAGGGAGAAACAACAGGCCAACTATGTGGGTGCAGAAAATCACTGGGAAAGAGGTTATCATGGCAATAAATGGATGGGGAGAAAGAGAGAGAGAGAGAGAGAGAGGGAGAGGGAGAGGGAGAGGAAGAGAAACAAGGAGAGGGAGCGTGAAAGAAAGAGAGAAAAGGAGAGGGAGCTTTAAAGAAGACAGGACCTAAACAGGCAAGCAGACCTATTATTTTCTCTTTTCAGACAGCCCGAAGGCTGAAGCCACCCAGATGGTGGCATCAGTTTAGCCCTGGAACTTTTGAGGAGTCATCCAGCAGGTGAAACACAGACCCAAGGGCCAGCCTGGGCAGAAAAGAGGAGACAAACATCAGTGTAGGACAGAAAGAAGGGAGAAGACCTGCCTCTTGCAGGCGCAGCTGGAGAAGATGAGAAATCCAAAAGGGCATTGATTCTAATTTGGACCCCACAGCTCCCTCAGTGTGACCTGTCAGCTTCCACGATGGGAGGCCTCCTTTATGATAGCCTCGTCCAGCTAGCACTGCCTGATCTTCCTTAAACCATCTTTTAGTTGCATACAGCACTGTAGTTCTAGATAACAGAATTTATTGTATCAACCCCATCAATAGGGTATGAAGTTCCTTTGAATGGAAGAGTTCGGCTTCGGCAGTGACTGGGGCTACACCTCTTCTGCAGCCTTACCTCTCAACAGTGAACATGTGATGCCTTTTCAATGGTTTGATGTGTTTTCTACAACGTTTATAATGCTCACTTCAGTGAAAAACAAAAACAAAAACAAACAAAAAAAAAAACCAATACTAACAGCCAGCGTTTGCTGAGCATTTACAGTGTGGCTGACACAGTTCTGGGGGCTTTTTATATGCCCCCTCACTAAAGCCTTCTACCTATCACCCTACCTACAGATCTCATGGCTCTCTCCATTTCACAAACAGAAACGGCTACTCCAACAGATATCCATGTCTCTCCGCCTCTCAGGGTCCAAGCCCTACAGGAACACCATCTCCTCTTATTTAACCCCTTGAGTTCTTTCCCCACTCCTACCACTTCTATGAAGTATTGTCTTTCCTGTCTTGTTAACTCTCCCCACTCCACCCCAACCCACATATATCGCATGAGGGAAGTCTTCACAAAAATAACCCTACTGTTCAAAATTGTTCCCTTCGGTTAACTGCTATGTAACATGTTAAAGAACACAAAAGTCTGACGAAACCAGTGTGTTTAAATGCTCACATTTATAAAAAACCAAACAAACAACAACAACAACAAAAAACTTCCAAGGGGAAAGAGCACTTGATGGAAAGAAAAATCCTCTACAAGTACCCCCAAGAGGCACTAAAAACCCCAGCTTTCAGAATATGGTAATTCTATTAAAGTTGTGACTTGTTCTCGAGCCCCATGTTGAAAACCACCAGCAGGTTTTCATAGGGAACAGGATGAGAATAGCCAGAGTGGCTTCTTACAAGGAAACAAGGTTGCTCAGTGCATTAGGGCCTTGCTGAGATGGGTTAAAATTGCTTTCAGGAAGAGATACACAGTGAAAGCACATGTGTGCTTTATACATGGCAGGCCTCTTATACATGGCACCGATGTCTCCATATTCGTGTCATACAGAGTCCTCCCTTACCCATCATTCTCCCCATGTTCACAGATGTAGTAGACCTCTATCATTGGGGAAGCAATCTATAAGAGTCTAGGTAATTCCCTAGGTAATAACCACTTCAGAAGAGGTTACCACATCTGGTCCATATAGATTTCTAGCTTCTAAGAGCCCACGAGACCACAGCATTATAAACAAGATCACACAGCAAACAACAGTGAGATTAAAAATGGGAACTTCATCCCAAGACCTCCATGCCATATCAGCAGTGCTATGATTGGTTCTGTGGGAATCAAAGGCCAGTGAGAGGAACTAACTGTGAAGACAGGCCAGTAGGGAAAAACATAATCGTGTGTTACAGCAGTCTAGGCAGTTGGATTCTGAAGCTCTGTCACCATTTCGAAGCCAAAGGAACTGGCTAAAATTAAACCTCAATAATTTCAGAGCTGTTTCTTTATCTGGAAGTGTTAGTGAAGTGTGCATGCCTTGGCATCTCTGATGTTTCAGATCTGTGCTGAAATGAGAGCAGCGGTAGATAAATGCTACCAGCATTTGCTTTTTAAGACCCTCTGCTGCTGTTATTAAGAAAGGGCCACTTTCAGAGAAACACTATTTCTTAAGCGCCAAGATTTGAGGATGCCGCATACCTGTGCCGTATCACTTTGGATTTGAACTTTCTAATAAGCAAAGAAAAGGCAAAGGGTTCCAGACCACCAATACCGCCTCCTGGCCTTAGAGATAACATCTTCCTCACAGACCCTAGACCCTTTCTCTTCCTGACTGCAAAACACATTCCTGCTTGCTTTGGGAATTAACAGTTTCTTACTCACCTCCTAGAGGATGAGGCGGGAAGCTTCAGAAGAAGCCAGCACAGGAGTCTTGATCTGGTCAGTTGCCCCAGTTCACTTTCCCATGGAGCTGGTATCAGAAAATGCAAGCAGGACTCCAGGCAACCCAAACATCTCCCTGACTGAGTCTCTGCAAATCTGAGCCCTTCCTAAGGCAGGCAGCAGGCTCAAACCCAAGCCGCTCTGCTTTTGCATTCCCTCCGAGGGAACGTCCTCCCTAAGAGCGGACCCTGCTGGAGATGGACCGGTGCCAAAGAGTGCCACTCGTGCCCTTGTTCTAGGCCTGCCTGAGCCCTGGAACGGTCTTCTCAAGAACCCCTTTCCTCTAAACTCGCCGACTTCACGGTTATCTGAAGGAAGTCACAGACCCCAGTCTCTGCGTCATCAGCTGATCCTGAGCCAGACCCGGGAGACCAGTCAGCTGCTCGCAAAGCCCGGGCCACTGAACCAGGAAATGTGCAGCTCATCCAAAAAATAATAATAACTGTCACGGAGCGCCTGGCAGAGCTGGAGAAGTCGCTGTTCCCAGTTCCAATGCCTGCATCCTCCGCATGCTAATGAGGCTGTGATGTCAGCAAGTCAGTCACAGCATCTGGACGTCCCAGTCTGGCCGCCCAGGGTTGAGATTTATTTACATGTAAATTAGCCTCGCCTTCCAAATCAATAATCCCCAAACAAAAGTGTTGGGGGTGGGTGTTTACTAATGCAAAGGCCCAGCTACGCAGCCTCCAAAGGAGCAGGGAAGAAAAAAAAAAATCACATCTCAGAGAGGATTGAAAGACACATGGCTGTTCGCCCCCACCTTCTTTTTAAAAGCAACATACCGGAGATCTTAACTGGGCACAGTTATAGCCTGGGTGCTGGTTCAGATCAGAAACTGTACCAGCCCTACAAACAGAATGAAATATTCTCCTTCTCTTCCTTTTTCCTCCTTCCCAACCCCTCTCTCCCCTTCCTCATTCCCCTTCTCCCCTTTTCTCTCACCACCTCATCTCTCCCCTCTCTATTTCTGGCTATGCTGAAACTTCAAATGCTGTACTTATATATTTTTTTCCCCTCTTCAATTTTCATTCCATGGCGTTAGCCCTGTTTACTGCCCCAGATGAAGCCACCTTTGAGATTTTATGAACCCTGGAATAAAATGTACTCAGCTTTCACCACTAGATCGGGATGTGAATTGGACACATATAGTTGCTGACCCCTTACTCTAATTTCAAGTGAGTACACAGACAACCACGTGGAAGGAGTGTCCGAGGACCCCCAGGGCACATAGAGGGCACTTGTCCCTGCGGCTTCCATACAGGTCAGAAAACCGGCAGAATGGAGAGAGGCTTGTTCCCATGGCCCCTAGGACTTCAGCAGGTTTGAGCCAGAAATTGCCACTGCTGGACCATAGACTGGAACATCTCTAAACACCTTCAACTCTCTATCTTCCAGTGCCACAAGAAGCTGTTCAAATAATCAGAAGCAAAAGAAGGGGGCAGGAAAGGACTCCAGAGTTGAAACACTAGGGTTTAGATTCCGGCTTTAGCTCCTGGTAGCTAAGTGATCTTGGACAAGTAATTTAATCCACGAGATCTTAATGTGTACCATTCCCTCATAAAATAAACATTTACGTGTATGTGAGTGTGTGTGTGTGTGTGTGTGTGTGTGTGGAGGCTGAGTGATTGCACATATGTATGCATGTGGAGGTCAGAGAATAATCTTTGCGACTGCTCCTCAGGTGTTTTTGGTAACAGGGTTTCTCTCTGGCCTGGAACACACCAAGTAGACTAGCCTGGCTCGTTAAGGAATCTTATGGTCTATCTGTCTCCACCTTCCCAGTGCTAGGGTCCTCCAGGCCTGACTTTTTTCCATGGGTTCTGGAGCTGGGGCTTAGGTCCTCAATCCTGAAGACAAGCACATCACGACCTGAGCCACCTCCCAAGCCCCATGTTTAATAGACACATACTTTATGCTACATGGACTATTGGGGCTGAGCATCTCCATAGTCTCTGCCCTTACCGAGTTTGTGTACCAAAGTGCAGTAATAGAAATACAAATGCAGAACGGTCAACTATGGTGACAGTGAGCAAAATACCATTTACTCTAGTAAGTAATGATAATTTCTGGTCTTTTCAATAAAGTAAGAAAATTTTACCTAGCTGTTTAATCTATCAGGGTTGCCATGCTTTTCTGAATATTTTTCTCCATTGTCATCTCCTATTGCCTTCAGTTAATCTTCTTTCTTTGTTCCCCATTGGCCACCAGGCCAGGTAAACAGTAGCTATAAACCAGCAGTCTGGACCCGGAGCCTCAGACAAGGAAGCGCGATGGGCAACTGGTGTGTGAGGGTGAGCATGTGCACAGGAGTGCACGAGAGGAGGTAGGGATGTCAGCTGCAGAGGCTGAGCAAGACCCAGCCCTCCATGCGCGGAGATCCCCGAGGACAAAGCAGCCAGCGCAGATCCTCGCCCCCACCCCACCTCTGCCAGAGAGCCCACTGGGATGAGCCCTGCCCTTTCAGCTGGAGCTTCTGGAGCTTCAAATGAATTTCTTTGTTGGATGTTGAGAAGGTAAATTACGTCTTTTGTTATACATAATTGTATTAATAATGCTTAATCATTTCTTCCAGAAGGTTTTTTTATGGTTCACAGAAGACCTTTATGATTAACAACATGGGACCTGGAATAACTTTTTACCCAGAGGAATGAAATATGAGACACACTCTGTTTTAGGTCCTCATTGCATCGAACTCCACGTATGGAGGGAGTCAGATGGAGGTGCAAACCCTCAGGATCCTTCAAAAGGTCAGTTAACAAAATAACCTGGGGCCACCAATGGCCCAGCGGAAGTGGTGACATCCAACCATAGGCCTGGGCAACCCTAGGGACAACTCTTTTAAGTTGCTTATGGCCCAGTTTTGCCAGGTGAAGAAGGGCACACCACACTCTCACCTTATCAGCCTTACTACATGACACAATGAGACGTGATTCACACGTAATTAACAATAAAGAGGGAAATTGGAATGTAGAAAGTGACAAGAGATTCACCCTCAGCTGGAGCAGATTTGACACAAGGCTACAGATTTCATAAGAACTGGTAATATGAATGGAATTGGTAGTAAACTATGGAATGGAGTTCCGAATGGATGCTCTGGGGTCCGTCCTAGATCTCTGATTTGAAGCCTGAGACTCTCTTGCTGTTAGTGATAGGCTCTGGGTGGGCCTTGCACATGCTAGGTAAGCCCTCCATCACTGACTAATACTGACAGTCTGTAAGCCCAGGGCTCCCACCTGTAACACAGGATGCTAACAGTGCCTATCTTCATAGAGCTGTTGGGGGAAATTAAGAGAAATTAATGTGAAATATTTTACATTGAGCCTACACACTTGACAATGTTAGGTGTTCGTAGAAGAAATCATGTTATCATCACTAACTTTGGTACAGTCTATTTAACTGACTGACTTAAAGGCTTTAAAATCATTCCCACTCTCAAGGGTAAACCCACAAAGTTCCACCTAATGTAGGTAAGCTTCTCACATGCCCTATACTATATGCTCTAACACAAATACCTTTGACTCAAAAAAAAAAAAAAAACAACAACCCAAAAACCACATAAGAAAGCATAAAACAAAATAAAAGCAAACAAAACAAAACAACAACAACAAAAAACACAAACCAAAAACTGATTGACACTAAGAGGGAGACATTTTCACTTCTGAAAGTATAATTGAGATAAAACAATCAAAGACTCTCCTTCACACACAGTGAGGTGGCTCCTAATAAGCCAGAGAAATGTAAGTTTCAATGCTTCTGAAACACCTGACCTACCAAGCATGGCAGCTGCCTAATGTGGCACACTCAGAGTAGCAGAGTTTCTTCTTTTGACCATGAGACTGCCTCGGAACTAGAACTCACTGCCACAGCCAGCTACACTCAAGAGAGTACCAAACCACCTGCCACTGTCTTTGGAAAAGACTGAAATTCAAAATTCAAAGTTAAGGCTCTTTTGCGTTATTAGGGAGTTGAAAAATCATCAATTTTTTTCTCTTATGCCGGTGTTATTTCTGGGAGGCATATTTCTGTATATTTCTGGGAGGCATATTTCATCTATCTGCTCACTATTTTGTGGCGCTTGGGATCAAATACATTACGTGAGCTCCTTCCACTTGTTAGTTCCTAGGGATGCTATGGTGGCCAAGACGGATATGGGTACAGCCTTAAAAGAGCTTTGTAATGAAAAATGAAGATGATGAAATAAGCCTTCAGAGCAGGATATGATGTGTGTTATAAAAGGGCCTGTGTAGCCTGTTTTAGGAGAGCTAGCTCCAGTCCAGAGGAGCATTCCAAAGCTCAGTGTATGGAGGAAGCAGGACATCTATGAATCAGAAATGCACAGACTGTTAAAGTAATGGTCTACAGATAGATAATTCCTTATGGTGATGCTCTTCAGTCCAGAGACCATTCTGTTGAGGAGTTTTTGAAAATATGCCTTTAGGTATTCAACAAGATCATTGAAAAACTACCTGGGAAAGTTTGGAGGCCTGGTTTACTGACAAACTCATATTGTGTGGATTGTACGTCTAAAAACAGAGGAAAACTCTACATTGATGGAAGCACACTTCATGGGCAGAGGGAGAGAACAGGCAATATGTGCACAGGGCATGCAAACCCATCAAGAATCCATTAAAGGCCAGTAAAATGGGTGCAGAAGCTGCCATTTAGAACTTTGCATTTAGCCTGGAAAATGGAAAATTGCAGAAGTGACAATACCATATAGGGAAAGGAGAGAAGATTGTGCCAAATGTGATTTAAAAAAAAAAAAAAGGATCAGGTAAACTGTGAAGTGATTTATGCTTCAGGTCAAAGCAATTTTTGCTTTTTTTTTTTTTTTGGAAACAATTTTCTATGAAGAAGGCCTACCCTAAACATGATATGAAATTTAGAAGCTATAAATAGAAAAAAAAATTCTGCTGAAATTGCCAAGGTCAAATTTTAGTAGCTAGGGAGGGTATCTAGGCAGGAGGAAAAAGCACTAACATTAAAAAAGGCACTAATAAATAGAAAATTAGGAAGCTTGGAAACATGGGTGAAGGATACAGGGCAGCACCAGTGTTAACAATGGCAGGTAACAAAGAGACCACTCCACCCGCTGGAGAAGCA